AGCTGCTTGGTAAGGTGAGGAAAATGACCTGCCCTCTCAACCCTTGCCAATCACGGCTGGCTGTCCGGGGGGGATGCATTGAGGAGATTCCTCACAGATATCACCAATGCATCCTTCATGGAAGGACATGTTCCATCTTGTTTAAAGGAAGCAGATGTTAGGCCGTTTCTGAAAAAACCTTCCCTGGACCCCCTGGATATGAGTAACTACAGGCCTGTTTCTTTGTTGCCATTTTTGGGCAAGGTAATTGAGAGGGCTGTTGCTCTTCAGCTCCAAGCTGTCTTAGATGAAACTGATTATCTAGACCCATTTCAAACCGGCTTCAGGACAGGCTTTGGGGTTGAGACTGCCATGGTTGCCTTGACCGACGATCTGCGTCTGAGCATCAACGGGGTAGTGTGACCCTGTTGGTGCTCCTAGACCTCTCAGCGGCTTTTGACACGATAGATCACGGCATCTTGGACTGCCTGAGGGGGCTAGGTATCGGGGGCACTGCATTGCAGTGGTTCCGATCCTTCCTCTCAGGTAGGTCCCAGAGGATGCTGCTTGGGGACAGTAGTTCTAGCAAGAGGGAGCTCACTTGTGGGGTCCCTCAGGGGGCTATCTTGTCTCCGATGTTGTTTAACATCTATATGAAGCCGCTGGGTGAGATTATACGGAGTTATGGTGCTGGGTGTTTTTCCTCATCCAGCCCGTTACTGCCTTAAGACATTCATTGAGTGAAGATACGCCATCGGAATTCAAGGCTGATGATCGAGACATGGAGAAACAGATCTGGGTGTCATCAGCGTACTGATAACACCCAGCTCCATGACTCCGAATGATCTCACCCAGAGGCTTCATATAGATGTTAAACAACATCGGGGACAGAATGGCCCCTTGAAGGACACCACAAGTAAGCTTCTTTTTGCTAGAGCAACTGTCCCCGAGCAGCACCCTCTGGGATCTGTCCGAGAGGAAGGAATGGAACTACTGCAAAGCAATGCCTCCAATTCCCAACCACCTCTGCTGGTGGGAATGGATTGCTCCTTCCACCCAGCATGCCATGGTCTATCGCAGGGGTCGGCAACCTACGGCCCCCGGGCCGGTTCCGGCCCAGGTTGCCGGACTTACCGGCCCAGGCGGACCCCTGCCGCTGCCACTGCCGCCGCCGCCGCCGCCGCCCGGTTTGGTTGCCACATGGCCGCGCGCACCACAACCGCCAATTTGTTCTCCAAAATGGCAGCCACAACGTGTTTGCGCATGCGCAGGATTACTGTGTATGCGCAAACGCATTGCGACCACCATTTTGGAGAACAAAATGGTGGCTGAGGTGCCGGCAGTGCGTGCGGCGCCCGGGAGGAGGCCCGTCGCTGCCGAGGGAAGCCTCACCTGGGGGAATCTCGGTGGCGGCGGGCTTCCAGGAGGCCCATCGCCCCTGAGGGAAGCC